AACTAATCAGTTTCAAAGCTGTAGGTTTTGGCAGTAAAATAATTATGGTCGACTTATAGTAGATCACATGAAGCTTAACGATTCCTCTTCAAAAAAAAAACATGATTCTTTGGATCTTTTCTTGGGTGAGGGAACAAACACTTCAAAATTGTTTGGAGGAAAACTGGCTGCCGATACTAGCATCGTAGAGAACAGTAGTCCCCATTTTTTAGGTCTCTAAAGAAAATGCGCCGCTTTTCTACGCCGTCTTCCTCACGTTTTCATCAAATGTTCTTCAAGAAATAGCTCTAGATTTCCTCATGGTCTCATATCCTCCATATGAAGAAGACACTGCTCCATACCAACGACTTTGTGGTATGTTTAAACACCAGCAGATGACGAGATTCCACCATTTCGATTGTGCGACAAACCACCAACTAGAGAGATGAAACCGGTTAGTAGGATCTCACTTTCACTTCAATGGAGTTCAACATCGATTGACACGGACGGAGTGATGAGCCTCGGTGGGCGGAACTCCACTGCACTACGGCCGACGGCAGCACTCAGCGAGCGGAATGATGTGGATGATGAACGAGTAAAAATCGGAAAACTGGGAAAGGAAATTAGTTCTTCGTAATAAAACACGGCTTCTTACTTAGACGGGTTTCTCGGCATTTCCGAAAAGAAGCTGGTAATTGTTGGAATTCTAATTCTTTTAGAAATCGCCTCCATTCATAAGAGTGATAAGTACTGCAAACCATGTTTTCAACAACGTGGTAAAAATATCCTTATCCTTTAAATCTTTAAGAGAAGCTTTTAACAGCCGGTAATTCTAACCAATAATAAAACACTTTGAACAGTTTATTTCACAAAAAACCTTGATACCACTACACGGTATTCTACTTAGACGTTACAAAACTTATATGCTTGAACAAACTTCGACATTTAACCTAAAATCACAACTTCCACACTGCTCAAAATTCGAAGACATTCTAACCCCACCTCCCCCCACCACCCCCTCCTACTCCCTCTTCACCCCTTCCTCACCCCAAGAAAAAATGGAAATCTTGCTATCCAAGTTGACAATGCAGGTTCTTTGTAAAATCCAAGTTCACATTCATTGTAATATTTAAAACACAAGGCAAATCTCAAGAGAAAAGGCATGTTATCCCAAGAAAATTTCCACTGTTTGGAAGAAATTGGCAGTTTTTCCTCACGGTACGAGGCTTTTCGTGCTATCCTCTCCGATCGCTCCGATCTAAGTGGACGGCGGTGTCTCGTCGAATTCGTTACGAATTCCGTGATGACAAGCGAACCCACGTTTATACTTGTGATTTTTGCAAACTATTTGGCGCAAAACTTTCACGACGACGCTCAAAATTTGTTAGCTAAGGGAAGAAGAGAATCACTGCATCTCGAATAAAAATGCAATCCTAGACGTTTAACGTGTCATCAAAGCGAAACACGCGATTCATTATAGTGACCTTACAATTAAAATTCTTCAGTAAAAGCAGAGCGCACAAGGGCTCTTCGTTTCGTAAAGGCGGGCCATCCAAGTATTCGAGTAAACGTTGTGCAATTCACAGTGAGACATTGCTTGCGCTTAAACACTGCTACGATTTTTATTCATTTTTTCCCACAGGCAAATAAATTCACTTCCTTTATGTCTTTTTTATATCTACTTCAAGCCCATCTGCAAGTCATTGATTTCCAATCTGAAGCGAACAAAGAGATTGTTAGGGAATAAACTGCTACGCTATTAAATTTATACCACACTTCCTGTGAAAAAGAATTCGCATGTAGAATAAAAGAAATATAGTATTGACAAAAATTTTCAAATATTTTTATGCTTTGTATCAGCTGATAACGATAGCGACTTCTAGAGGATGGATTGTCCGGGAAAAATAAATGGCTATCACCGGAAATCACTGCTATCGATAAGAACTATCTTGTATAAAAGAGCATCGCCGGGTGAGTACGGCTCATACTAGAGAGATTCTTCACTGAAGAAGATCCAGCTCGATACGCGACGAAGAGGCTACCTCGAGAACACGAACAAATGTGGACCATCGACTCTGATCATCGGCTCTGATGAAGACGAAACCGTCGAAACGTCAGCCGTAAGTAAACATTGTTTACCAACTTCGTGTAAGCTTATCAAAGAAAAGATACATATTGAAAAAAAATAGTTACGGAAAGAAACTCTAAATCTAAAAGCAAATAGTAAAAAGAGAATTAAATCAAATAATCTTAATAAAGATACTGCCTTCAGCTATGTCTTTAAAGAGACTGAGACGATTGCAAAGCACGGCGAAGAAAATCTCCGACAGCTCAAAGAACAAGTAGGGAACGGTAACCGCAGAAACTGCTGATATGTTAAAGACTTATCCATGCTGCTTCATGTACTTCTTATCCATAATTTTTAAAGACACCGAAGATGACATATCAATTTCTCAACTTAGCCCTCAACCTTTTAATCAACCTCAGGAACACGAGAGTGATAAACGACAGCGCCACAAGTGCTAAAAACACTTCTGTACTTCATTTCATAGTAAAGGTATCAGAAATAAAAAGCGTGTCACCCTGGTTTACTGACCTGATATAGCAACCGAAAAACCATGAAAACGTAGAACACTGTCATTAACACAAATACACGTGACAACGTAGTAATAGGTTTTCGTAGACATTCGTCAAAACGGCACACTGTCTTGTATGCTACTCAGGCAAATCGAAAATCACATTCATACTTCAGGTAGAAATTGCCTCTCGTCTACTTATTTATGTTCAACTTCACCATTTGAATGAAGATTCAGATCCTTCCATTCAGAGATGTGGTAAATTACTACTCTTTCATGAAGGCCTCTAAGCGTTTAAAATCACTTCAAGCGGATCACTTCAAAAACATTGTTCATGTGGAGAATATTTAGCAGCACATCTGAAGTAGTAAAGGACATATGCACTTCGCGTTCTTTAGTTAGCAATCATTTTGACTGAGGCTAAAATCTAGCACAGTTCAACTGACGTGCATAACATACACATTGAACAGAGCTTGTGAAGGTTAGTCGCTAGACTCTGTATCGCCAGTACATCAAGCTCTGAGGAATGTAATTTCGAATAGCGCATCATAACTTTTCTGTGCTGTATTGCTTTGCAGCACCAGACTGCATTCCACCTGACAACTAAACTACCAGCATCAATTTTCTCACACCCGCTTCCATACCCTTTCCAGCTAGAAATCCTGTTTAAGTGAAAATTACAATTTCCAATTTAAAAAAGCATCACGTTCATGTTGCCATGGTTACCGATAAAAATTATGTCAGTAAGAAAAAAAAGGAGTGAAAATCTTACAGATTAGAAAAACCCTCCCGCCAATTCGATCCGAACGCGTCAAGGCTTCCCATTTTGACTGCTAACTCTCAAAAAAAAGCGAGAGGAATACATTCATGAGAGCTGATAAACCTGAACATAGTCGATCTCTCGACTTATGTTGTTGCTAGGTAATATCCAGTTTGAAAACTACTTCCAAATAACCCGTGATGCTTTCCTGAAATTGTAACTCACTCAGCCCTAGCTGTACACCCCTAAACGGAAGACACGAATTTGTTCGGTTCCGGCTTAGAGGTCTACCATTTCTGGCATGCTATTTTTCTTTGAAAACGAGAGTACTACTAACTTCCTATCACAGTGCCAGCTCATATTTACAGTTTTTTTACTGAGTGGTGGATGAACAAATTCAGAAATCTGTGATACTCTGCATTTGTCCACAACCCATCTTCCAACAAAGCCAGCAGCAGGCAGAGTAGTCACATGAAATAAACACCGATACGATTAAACTTATCGGCGACGTGTTTGATAAGACAACTCCTACATCGTACGGTTTGCAACAAAATTTGTGTTCACTAGACTTCTCATTGTCAACTGACTTGCCCCAATTTTCCAAGTTCGTCTACAATCCACAGCCTCCAAAGTCTACGATCATTTGCAAATCTCAGCAACGAAAGAGTGAAGGTGCATCAGCATGAGTAGCAGTGACGAAAACGCTAGGCAGATTACACATTCCTGAATGCAGTAATCAGTGTAACAGCAACAAAAGGATATAAGCATTCGAACAGAGAACATCATATGTAGACAGTAGCACTAGGAATGGGTAGTGGAACAAAACCAGTGGTTCTATACTACACTCATATTAAGGGACAACGAGACTAAAAAACCAATTATTCACATCTTATCACAGTACAACCAGAACATAATGTATCTTCCAAAAAGAAACTAGTTCAAGACGAACGCACTTGACAGACGGAACTAATCACATTTTCTCAAGCTCTTCCTGTTTAAGAAACTTAAACACAGTGGTCTCATGACTTAAAACCATCTATTTCAAAATTGGGCTATATATCCTTGAAATCAAATAACTGGTCGTGGGCTTTTCTCCTTCTTTGCCATTCTCAGTAAAGAAAGTCGTTCCCATAACATATTCAAAATCCTTGGAAAAGCGTCGCTAGCATTAAAAAAGCCGATTAAATTTAAAAGTAATCCCGGACTCGTAAACGTGGCAAAGATGTTATTGAGAAAAATCATCATTGTTACTCTGGATGCACATCCAAAATGGTAGGTGGAGAACTGACGACATATGCCATTGCTCTGATTGGTGCTGATTCGTAACGACGGACCTTGTGTAGACGTTAATGCAGAATTTAGTCCGAAAATCAACATAACGTGAATATGGGAAGTTGGCACTTGGTCATTACAGTAAGCAATAACATAATTCGTAATTTATTCAAATATCGACAGCATCTAACTCAAATCTTATACGTGATTTGCAAAGGAGAAGGTACACTTCAATCTACCAGCTGTGAGATAGCGGCACATTATTACAAACTATTATTTATTCCTTGAACACCAGAGGCGTCCATTCGGGGACAAAAGAATATGTTGACATTGTTACAACCACAGCTACACGGAACAAAGAACGAACAAGGTAACGATAAGGTGGCCGGCCAGTGAATGACTGCGGGCACGCCTCACTTACCACAACTCGTTGCCTCAGAATATGAAATTGCTAACAACAGTGTGATCGTCACGTGTGACAACCGACGGCAAGGAAGTGGCCATGGTGGCAGCGCACGCTGTCGCGTGCACGCACATGTACACAATAAATACAACGCGGTTTTCCCCTCAGGAGTGAGACGAACACAGAACGGAGCCCATTATACCAGAAAACGAGGAGGCTGGAGGATAATCAACACAATGCCGACAGTCTCACTGTCGTACGACTCCTTTCCGTTTTGACCAATAATCTCTATAATCAAGCATATATCAATAAGCTGACCCCTTCGACAATTGTTGGTTCCCTAACTTTATTCCCCCTTACTTGTAAAATAGTTTAAAAATCTGCTGTCGGCAATGTGTTTATGAGAGTGCGTGAAGTACAGAAGAAAAAGAAAAGATGTAAAGAAACGAAAAAGGAAGAGGAGAGAAAGAAAATATATTTAGGTGCATCAGGAATCCATCTACGTGCTTACTCAACGCAGCGGCGAAGCCATCTATTATCCCTCTATGTCACGGGACTATGATCCGCCTAGCAATAATGATCTTCAGAGGGTTGCATGCTATAAATCACGCATACAATCACATAACTATGGTTGTCAAAAGTGTACTATGCTGAAAAAAGAAAACAACAGTATCAAAAGTGAACAGCATCATTTGGGGAGAGAAAACCACGGATCGTTAACAGCAGAAAAAAACACTCAGGCGAAAAGTGGACTCCCGAGACGAAGTTCGAAAATACGGAAAAATCATTTGCATCTAAGAGCGGTGGCTTTAAGAGCTTTCGGAAATGGGAAGAGGAAGGCACCGTCACACTCTTATTTCTTCCCCACTGGCCTCGCTCCGCCCACTGCCGGTCGCCCGCTGTTTAGACCTGCGTACTGGTACTTCGCTTTCTTCTCCGATGGCTTCAGAATCTGCAATAGAAGGAATTTATTTATCGAACACGCTCTCCAACATAGTTGTATTCTTATATTACACCTTTTTTTCGTATACCCGGCCTACGTGAAAATGCATCGAACAGAGTGTTTCTCCTCAAAAAACTTAGCTATTGAAGTAGTCACATGACATCACCTAAGCACCTCTTTACCTTAACAAGAACCGTACACCAAATTCGTTCTGCTGAAATAGGTATTATGTTACAAATGAAATTGAAAATATCAAATGATTGTCACCGAAGAGAGTTAAGTTTCCATGCAATCGAATTGCAATTGCAAGTTGGTGACCAACTGAAACAGTTTTTCATATGCAGATGATTTATTCAAGCATTAACTATACTTAGCCCGTTCATAGCATTAAGCGAAAATGGGATAATTTTCAGACCGACTGGTATATTTGGGGGAAAACAATATAACGAACCGTCAACACTATGAAACCTTCACAGATATATATATATACATGTGTATATATGCATGTGTATACATATATATGTATATATAATGTATATGTCTCCCTTTCATACCAATATTTTCTAAAAATTTATCTAGTAACAACGTGACGGAAACACCACCCTTCGCGACCACGACGTGTTAAGAGAAGACCATTTTGAAAACTAACAGCAGGATTATCTCATAAGGCAACAAATATGAGAGAAGACAGAACAACAAACGAAAATTTAAAACGTAGGCTAACTCTTTTCTCGAATGCCTAAATTCCTTTTTTACAACGCTTTAAAAACCCAAGAGAGCAAGAACTTCAATGTTGACTTCCGCCAAACTGTCGAAATTAGCTGCAGAATCTCAAATGATTGCGTTTAAATGGCAGGCGAGAACTAAATGGCCACCAAGTTACAACCATTCCCCATTGCGTGTGTCTAAAACAAGCCGTAACACTTGCATGGTTTCCTCGCATAAACTGCATCTAACTGGAGCTATATCACAGCAAAAACCTATTGTCCTTATACATAGTTCTCCCTTATTATTTCCAAAACCCAGGTAGTACCACTCGCAATATCACGGCTCTGAGATGAGACGAAATTGCGGAAGCCTTAGCCATAGATCAACGACAATATTTCCACAATATTTTTTAATTGCCCATCTACAAATAACCCCTCAAATCAATTACATGAAAAATACGTTCACGGACTCTCTAATTCCGATAAATCGATTGATTTTGCTTGGTCTAATGTAACTTAAGCTAGTGCGATGCTTTAAATGCACAATACAAACAACTAAGTATACAAGACATATACAATCGAATTCAATGTGTAACCATTCAAACAGACAGCTCCAGCTCAAAAGGTCCCCAGAGCCGTGTAATAGGTGAAAAGTTTAACCACTAGGTGCGAAAGCCTGTTATTGTATCTAAAGTGAAGGATCTGAAATATTTGCCGCTGTTTAGACGACGAATGTCAATGCTATAACCTACCTTTTAACAAAGTAAAGACAACTCGAATAAACAACTAAAAACGGCATGACTAAGGAATAACTCTATTAACCAACTTTAATCACACTCAATGTTTTGTTTAAATAGAATCGACCATGACCTTCAATACAATTTCTGCAGTTTATATAATTTTTCCACACCATACTATGAAACTTGTAAAAAACATAATGCGTTAAACCTTGGCTTATTTTAGCACAATTTCCGCGAGATGATTTCCTAGCAAAACATGAAAGTAGTACTCCACAAAGGTCAACAACTCATAAATATAACATATCGGTCGAAACGTAAGAGATTATTGAATAGGAACAATCTCAAGCGAAGACCAACACTTTATTCACATAATGTCATGGGACGACAACGCGGACGTCATTTTCACAGTAACGCATGACAGTACGCGTTAATCAAACAAGCTTAACCCTTGGTTTTTTGTGCATAGTGGCCACATGAAGTCGCTCTACCTTTGCGCTCCACATTTGGTGGTATTGGATTACGACAAAAAAAAAATAGTTTTATGCATACCAAGTGTGTAACGCTAAGAACAAAAACTAAATGAAATAAATATTAACTTTTTATTTGTTGTCAACTACAACTATTTATGGCAAGGTATTATGCGAAATACAACCACAATGAATCTGAGATATTTGCAAAACTCAGAACCGCAGGTGTCCGCGGCGGGGAACCAACACGCTATTATTCCGGGGCTAATGCGTTCACCACCGCACCATGTGGGTCCTTCGTTTTGCCTATCTCTCAGCAAGTTCTACTGATCAGTGCCATCGGCAATCACCTATCAACGACATTGATCTAGGCAGCACAAATCGGCACTGAACCCAGTTAAGCTGAGGATGTAGTTGAAATGAAGTAAAATAAAGATCTGGTTGGCGAACCACGAAAAACTACATTATAAAAGGATCAAATGGCTAAGGAAAATTTGCAGTTAGAAGCACCAACCTGGAAGCTGCACATTAAGGTTTCGTCGACACTCATCATTCCACCAGCGTTGTCGAATTCACCACAGTAGTTTGGTGCTGAGAATAACGTCACCAATTGCCTTTTAGCAAAGAATTCATAACCATCCTCTACAACCTGAAAACAATTCAATTGAATAAAAGTAGGATACTCAACATAATGAGATGCATGATAGAGAGCTGGAAAAAGAGCTATCGAGCTAGATCACAACGTGCTACCTACGGAATATGTGGCTAATAGAACAAACAGATGTAAGGTTAACTTTTTATTTGCTGCCTACTAAAAATTTTCACGACAGAGTACGATCTGAAATACAACCAAAACGATGCTGAGATATTTGTAAAACTTGAACCACAGGCTAGATCAAAATACTATTACGCTTTCCAGAGGCTCGCCTGTAACACACGGCACCACCGAGACCCTTGGTTGTGCTTTCTCTCAGCTAGTTTTGCGGATAAATGTAAATTAATTCCTCACCTAAGCATTTTCTTCACGAAACGTCAAATTTCTAAATGTGCAACAACATATCTGTTTTACAATTTTCCAGGAATTCCGGACAAAACGATGCGACCATAAGAACGACTAACTCCTCATTCTAATTATCCCATTTGATAAATCCCATCTACTTACATGGAAAACTGGTTTTGGTTTCTTTCACCAACTAATGACTGCTTTCACTTTTTGTGTATAACGAAACGCATCTGTATTTGGTAATCAACGTTTGCAGAATGGTTTCCACGTGAGATTAAAGCCTTCCAGTTTGGAAATCAATAGTGATTCATTTTTTGTAACACCTTCAGATATGATTTTAAAAGAATCTCTAAAATCACTTGGAAATGAATTTATTCAAAAATACTTTAAGTTGTTCATGTTAGCTGACTCGGCGTGGTAGATTAAAGATCACAAATAAAAATTGGTTTCACACTATTCCGCCGAATCTATCATATCCCTTCTCTATCATCCACTTTTCCCAATCACATGTTTCGAAAAGCATTCGTTCAACATTTTCTTGTGTTTGTTTAGCAATTTGCAAAAAGTTACCAGTGTAGCAAAAAGTACCCAGTGTAGAACCCTCAAATGTTCGAAGAGCACAGAGAAAAAATAACAAGTTGCTTTAATTTTAATATTAGATCTTAATACAGTATGTCCGAAGTCTACAGCACTACCTAAAAGTATGAAAACGAATGAATCGAACTGAGTTTAACCTTAGTGGATACACGAAATGTTGGCGAAAAGTAAGTAATTAAAGGTTTACAACCTGTATGCTTAATAATAAAATGTTAGTTAAAATGAAAAAGATCTGCTTCGAGACAAGGGATACCACACTTTAAAATTTTCACAGTCATAACTACCAACTTTCAAATATGAGATATTCCTCGGAACAAGGAAACAATGAGCTTCAAATGGAGTTACTCTACACCTAATAGTTTCTTGTTCTTTGGTCTAATACATTTGTATGTTGCGTTCCAGCACTCTTATTAGAGTTAACAAAGAAAACAATGAAACAATACCTGATGTGCCCTACATATCAAATCGAGATCGTGTCTATTAAGAAACTTTGCAACAACATCAGGCCCGAACGTAAACGACACTCCACGATCGTTTTCACCCCAGCCAGTGACATCTTTATCCGGATCAGACCATAGTAAATCACACAACAAGCCTAGAAACTCATAGCTTAATGTTTTCACGGATTTAGCTTACATGAACAATATCGAGTCAGTTGGCTCCGATGTTATATGGCACGCTCACAACTAAAAGTCAGCGGGTTACTAAAATACAAACTAAGAGCGACCACGTACGTGTGCTGAAGCGCAACATCGATCTATAGCTTCGATACATAGGTAACAGTTCAGCCTAGTTCATGAAAACGCAAATGTATGTACGTCTATGCACGCCGATTATCTTCTGTACGTCAATTCGGCCAAAAATAGCACTCGAACAAATCCGAAAAACGCGTAAAGTGTTTCAGAATTGGATTCAGTCTAACTACCCATAACGGGAAAACCATCAAAATAACGGGCGTTGTTAGAAACATTACGTTTATGATGGTATTCGTGCCATTAAAGTTTGTGATACAGAAAAGGCAACTACAGCGTACAACAGAGACAACAGCACGATTTATAGCTCTAATGTTTACTCGATTCACTCGATGATTAATGTTTTTGGAGAAGGGTGAATTTTTCTTTCACAAGGTTCCTTTCATTTACTGCCCTTGGACAGATAGGCACAAGTTCGCCAGTACTTGCCGTAGATGTAAGCAGTGCCTCCGCACGGCGATGTTGAACTCCATTTCAGTTTAGGTAAATCTGCTAAGGTATGAACCCACCACTGTATACCGCAACTAGATAGTAAGAAAATCACTAGGTCACAAAGGAAAACTTCCGGTTATTTTAAAGCATCGAGTATTAGAAAGTTCGAAAATCAGTGACTCAAATGTGCACTGATATCAACTAGTACATTTCATCTACATGGTATGAGATCTCGAGCCAAAGAAAAGAAAAATAATGAACCAAGAGCAAATAATTCTCGACAGACCGGTATCAGGAACGTCTGTTGGTCGCATAACGCGTCGAATCTGTTCCATATTTTGTAGATCGGGAGAAAGACCACCATGACAACAAAAAATTTTTTCATCAATAAGAGCGGCAATCGGTAGACAATTGAAGCAATCAGTGAACGTCTTCCAGAGTTTGATCGAAAATCGACGTTTACCTGAAATGCACCATTTGTATGACGGTAAAGCACTAGACGGAATGGTACGAACGCTAATAACTCACCTTAATCTTTCATTTGCTAACTAATTTCACGAGAGAGTATAATGTGATATACAACCACAACGATGCTGAGATATTCGCAAAACTTGGACCCTGATCATATCGAACGACGATTACCCTTTCCGGGGGCTCGCGTACTACACACTGCACCACACGGGTCCTTGCTTTGAGTTCCTCTTAGCTAGTTTTCTACCAAACGATGCCACCAGCTAAGAAGTTATTTTGAAACAAGAACGTGATTTCGTGGCACTACCCTACGACCTACATAGGGAGCAAAAAAACAGCCGAACCTAATTTCTAAAATGGTGTACTTTAACTAATTCCTTTGCCAGATGTGGGCTCAACGGGTGAATTAAAATTAATGCAAACTGGCCAAACTCTTCCCAAAAGACAATTCAGGGCTTCTATTAGCTCTATTCGCGCTATAACTCGACTCTTCTATGTAAATCGTTAGTAAGCTGCTTTTTTTTTCAAATCCTTCCTCATTTTCCTAGCAGCACTGCTGTAAGATTATCATCATTTTTTGATTTCTCTATTGCTTTCTGTTTATTCACCTTTTTGTTCCATAATTTCTGGATACTAATGTAATTGATTTTTGCAACTATCTAAGATATTTATATCTTACTAGGTTTTAATAAAGTTTCAACTTTATTGCTCAAGAAAAATTACGCTCTTGAATTGAGTTTTCGCAGCTTTGAACTGCTTTAGTGAATGACGAGATGAGCCTTAGTTTCAATCAAATTCGCAATGAAACTAAACAGCATGCATAACCAGCTGGTAAAAATGACGATGATCAATAGGTGGTAACTTGTTGTTGGCGGTGGGTTGTCATACAATGCGAATACAAAAATGATACGAAATCGCATTTTTGCAACGAAATACTGTGTAAGAAGTGTATATTGAAAAGATTGAAAGAACTGGAAAAGTGGTAGAACTCTTCTAGAAAACAGATTTTTGATAGTTAAAAGAAACAAAACAAGTGAGACTTTCCGGCGATGCCTTGTACAGCACTTGTGGCTATCGACTGCATAGAAAACGTCTACTAGAAAACTGTATGCGATAAAAAAAAAAATAAACAGTCGAAAAAAAAAAGAATGAAATCAATGCACAATCAATCCACATCACTAAGAATGCGCTTAATTTACATTTAAATTCGTCTGAGCCCTTTATTGCTACTCACTTTTATTTTAGGCGACCTGAGAGCACTTGCGACTCATTCCATTTCATTTTCGTGAGTTAAAAGACTAGTACAAGAATATATATGGAAATATTTCCTCTGTAAATGATTGGTCACGATAATGACATAATGACACACGACTGGTCATAATACATATATATACCGACAAAAGAGTGTGTTGTGAAGTGATCGGAGGTGCCCTGCGTACACATGGGATCGATCCCCGCCCCAAGGCTCACCAGGCCTTCCATCGTTCCGGGGTCAGCAAATTTGCGCCAGACTTGTCTGAGAGGAGAACAACACTGGCTCGATTCATCAGTAGGCCACCGCGAGTCATTGTAAAGCCCAGATATGCATTCAGTCACCTCCAAAGGACGCTTAATGTGGTCGAATGCATGACGCATTTCTCAGAGATTTATCAACGCTGAGATCTTTATTTATATACGTTTACACATATGTACATGTATGCACATGTGTACATATATACGTATACATATATATTATATATATAAATATATATAGATTGTCCTTTATTCGTTATTTATATACGTATACATATAGGCATATACATATACGTACACGTATGCACATGCGTATATGTGTACATATATACGTATACATTATACATTACATATATGTTATATATATATATATATATATACACATAGAAAAGCTGGCGGCCTACTGCTATCCAAAAATAGATGCCACAGAAAAAGTACTTTCAACGACGACTTGCATTTTGGAAATACAATTACTCAAGTTGGGAACTTCGAAACGTGACAAATGCATGAAACTTGTCCGAACCCCGAGAAACATAGTTGGTTATAAATTCACAACGAATCCATCAAAGAAGCAAAGAACAGCCACCACACCACCCGCAGAAGCGCGACTTAAAAACTTTTAAGCAAACGCTTTTAAAATAGAAACATTCAACATTCAATATTTGGGAAGCAAATGAAATGGTAGAAGGAAAAACAACCCACATTCGTCATAAAACCCATAAATCCTGTTAATTGAAGCGCACTCGTGATTTCCTCTGAGCAAGAAAAAATTTTCTGGATATTTGACTTTATACGCCAGTAGAAGGCAAATAGTCTGTAAGTGTATCGACTTCATACAATGGTATCTATCGAAACAGGCTATGCAGGCTAGGAGAGAAAAAGAAAACCTTCCTCACAACCTCTACATTAACGTACCTCAAGGCTTTGTTTCCCTCTGTCTACATAGTCTCCGAGGAATAGATAATTAGCTTCCGGTGGAAAGCCACCATATTCGAATAAACGTAGAAGATCGTTATACTGACCATGAATATCTCCTGAAAATCTCTAACGATGTAAGCATTGGGATTCTGGATATAAAAATCCCTCAAACTTTCATCAGATGAAAAATCAAAAAGTAGAGAAACGTGTACTCGTGAACATCAACCATACTATGGTTCAAGTTTGCTTCTGCTCAAAATCTAGTGAAGTAGGACAAAACCACATTTGCAAGCCTTGACTTTTCAACTTATAACGGACGCGAAGCGCTAAGTACCCCTTCCGTTTAGGCCTACGCCTGAGTTTCAGCCTTCACAACGATGCTTCTTTTTTGATTTTCATTTCTGGTGATTTGCCGATAACCGGAAAACATGATAGTTCGCCAAAATGACAGGACTGTAGAACGGTTCATTATTCTACGAGTATAAACGGTATTTATACTACTATTTACTATGTGTTACTATGGTCAATCACGCGAACATTGCTTTCAGCGCCTAGGTTTTCAGCTTGAGTCTATTTCGGTATTTTTCATGCACACATATCCCACTAGATAATAATCATGATTCATCATAATGATTAAAATGAAATAAAAGTTGATTGAAAGCCAAATTACTAGTCAATGAACTCGTCCGAAAAGGACTTTTGCAAATCACTAAGTGTAGAGAACGGTTTTTTAGTCCTCCTCCCCCCCCATTGATGTTTCCAATCAACTATGGAATGAATAAAATCGTCCACTCTGCCATTTTTAGATGTATACGTCAAAATTGTTCGTTATGCGCTAAGTTTGATAAATAATTACTTGCAGACTAGGATGGTTCGTCTTCACTGATTGTGCGAGCCCTGGCATAATTTCCATTTTTTTTGGAGTTTTGCTGGTTTAGCCATTGTAACGCCCTGAAGTCCCGAGGTCTGCTTAACCAAAGTCTGCTCCAGGTATTCGCCACCTTTGTGGATCAGAGGAGAATTTGCCACCATGCGACTAGTTTGATACCAGGACGTTGGTGGATCCTGGTATTGGTTTACTCTTAGCTGGGTTTCCTGATGGAAACGCCAGACTCCTTCTCAGCATAGGAGACCCTGCCGGGAGGACGAGTTCACCCGCTGTACATCGCAGCCCAACACCCAGGAACAGTTTGATAAATACACAACTAATTCCATTAAAATATCAATCCTCAACGACTTAAGACATTTTCCTTTTTAAAAAACAACTGAATGACTTCATGCACTTATTTATGTATGAACATTCCATAGTTCGTTTCCAGCCATTCCTCTAACCATTCAGAAACCTCACTCTCCAAATTCCACGCAATGATTGCAAAGTCGTAAAGAATTTTACGGACACTGTCAACTAATGTGCAGAACTCAAGCAAAGTACATTTTAGTTGTGAATAATTCAGAGAAGCGAAAGTACCTTAATGTACCAAATAGAATTCTTTCATGTTCAGAAATATTAAACGAGTTTATTACTGATAGAAACTTCGAACGTACCACAAATTTTTAACGGTGCTTCAAGTTCCAGCAAAATAGGTTGAGAGAGGAATATCTCACGAGATTTGTGACATAGGGCGCGAATCTCAGCCTCTGTCATGGTCACGGTCTTCCCAGGACGACAGCCGCGAACTGCAAATGAAGAGCTCACAGCGGTGATGAGTATACAATCTTGTGGACAATGAGTTTGCATGTCTATTATGATTTTCATAAGGTATATACTACTTCGATACCTGAATGGCTCGTCTCCACTGGCTGTGCAGGCCCCGGCATAATTTCCACTTTTTGGAGAGCTGTTGGTTTAGCCATTGTAGCTCCCTTGGTTCCCGAGATTAGCCTAGCCAAAGTCTGCCCCAGATGCCCCACCCCAGCCAGCCGCCGCTCTCGTGGACCAGAGGGAGATTTGCCACCATGCGACTCACTCTTAGCTGGGTTTTCTGATGGAAACGATGGAGTCCTTCTCAGCTTTGTAGGCTCGGCCAGGAGGATGAATCCCCGGTACGCATCTCAGCCCGACACCCAGGAAGAACTCCTAGCCACGATGAAGCGGTAAACAGTTGGAAGGCATAAAGTGTATAAAAACATAAAATCTTCTTTTACTTACACGCATATTAGGCATAATTTTAACATATAGCTAAAGCAATAATAAAACGACTCTTCTAAAATATTATGCTGAATTATTTCAGTATGCACCTCAATAACCAGCATGGAGAGGCGAGACATGCCTTCCACAAATAGTCAGGTTCTTCAAAAAGGTTCCAAAAATCTGGCTAATCTTAACAGACTCTGACCCAAGAGTTTCAAAAGTAGACTGCTAGTCCAGTTCAATCGAGATCTATGCCTCTACGGCCACCGAAGAGCAGCTTTAAAAAAATGTACGGAGAAATAAGGGTAAATAGAAACCCAGAGCATCTGCGCTAATTACTGGAAGACGTAAGAATACCTTGAAACGAACAAAAACGGTCCTGACCACAACGAACCCCACACCTCTAACAAATCCTACCCTGCAAATCTAATAACGGGAAAACAAGAAGATTTGTTGCTTGTCATTTCTAAGAAGAGTGCTCACTTTCATTATGAGAGAATTCAGCACGCTATAATGAATATGCCCACCTTCTAGCAATCTCGTGATGAGGTTGTCGACGTTGAGCTCCCCTTCGCCGGACATGTCGTAATCTCCAGTGGTGTTCTCGACCGCAACCAACTACCCAACGGGTCTCTGAAGTCAAGCTGACATTGATCAGTCAGTAGAATAGTCAGCGCTAGAAACACAACCGTGGGCTGTTTGCCAGATCGGTTGAGGTGGAATCGACCGTAGGGTCTAAAAATGGGATGCAAAACAAAAAATGGAGCTAGTATAGAACCAACTAGAACCAACACAGCTCACAAGATGAATAATAACACGAACGCAATCACCCAACGAACTGAAGCCTCTTGACGCCCATAGTTCCCTCAACGAAGTGAAGAGCGCGCTAGAGAACCTAGCAATGGAAAACAGTCAAATTTGTCGCTGAACTAAACCCGAGTAAGATGTGAGGAACTTAGGATGTCAGCCAATAGTTGACTCCAGTTCTCCAAACAGAAAGAATAAAGCTTAACGGCCAGAAGTAGGAATATTTCTACTTTATGTTACCACACTACACAGTGAACAGCAATGGGAAGAAGTCGAGCGAGTGGCGGCCGATCGATCGACGCGCACGACACGCCGCATGCCCGTCGACCGCCATGCCCGGCGCACTCTTCCTCCGGACGGGCCCGAACCCGGACGCCCTCAACACGGCACCGGATCCACCCGGACCACGACAGGTGGGAGTGGTCCCAAAGAATGAGCTTCGCTCACGGAAAGCCTAGACCGGTGGTTCCATACGCTTCAATCCATGACTTACAGGCCTCACGTGTAGCGGTGTGGTGATTTCGTGGTCAAGAAAGCACATTTACACGAATGGAGGACGAACGAAGTTGTACCCATGGGGATTCGTGCTTGGGCGACGAGACAAAACTTTATTTCTATGTGTCTTCTTAACAGACAGATGGTCTTTTTGACTTGATTTGTTACCAAACACATCAAATATGCTTCCACTAAAGGAAATAGCATGCAACAGTCCAAGGATATTGAAGGATATGGAACTGAGTGCTCATTTTGGGATATCTTCTTCGTTTTGTCATTATCGCCCTTGGACATTAATGAACGGTAATTGATTCAGCTGTAAATGTTTCTACTGAGCTAAACAAACTTGACTCAGTGACTTCAAAAGATTTGATGCCGAACCTTTTGCGACTTATACTACGTGGATTCTTCAACGGCCCTTCTTCACTGGTTGTGCGGGTCCCAGCATATTGTCCACTTTTTTGGAGTTTTACTGGTACAGTCATCGTCGTTCCCTGGAGTCCCGAAGTCAGCCTAGCCAAGGTGTGCTCCCGGTCGTCACCACCGCAAGCAGTCTCCCCCTGTATGGATCAGAGGGGATTTGCCACCATGGGACTAGTTTGACACCAGGACGGTGGTGGATCCTGGTACTGGTTACTCTCAGTTGGGCTTTCTGATGGAAGTGCCGGACTCCTCAGCCTAGGAGATCTTGCTGGGGGAATGAATCCCTTCGCTGTACATCGCAGCCCGACACCCTGGAAAACCTTCAAGCTATGATGAGGCGGTAAGCCGTTGGGAGTTTTGAGACTTATAAGACGAAGAAATAAAAATCAGCTGGCAAATTCAAAACGATAGGTTCAAAAACGGTTATCAGTGACATTCTTGATATAATTCATTCTGGATTAGCACGATTTTCGACTACATTCTACGGTCTATTATATACTGTTCCTCAGTGGATTATGAAGAAAGTAACCAGTTTACTGCGAGGATATCGTTCTGTTCAGAAGTATTTCTATTTATGAATCTGAGCAAGACAAGAAACTAACATAATCTATCGCGTCGCATTATGAAATGGTGGTGAAGTGGCAGCCCCGTAAAACACAAAGTGCTAAGCTTAAAATATGCAGCACTATAATATGTACATTGTAATAAAGTAGAGTAAACCGGATTTCCACTAAACTCATTAGCGAACTGAATACGACATGTTTAAGCTGACTAACGACGTTGTGTTTTTCGTTGACGGGTAAGCTTGAAGAGAAAAAAGGTGCTGAAACAGAAGAGTAAACAAAGCCCTGCCAACTGGCTTGTGCACAGAACGGTGTCTCCAATGAGAAGCATTCGTCTTAATCGCATAAACGTTTAGATTAGAACGTAACAGTCTTCCGGTCACATAGTGGTCCAACTGAAAAACTTCTTTACGGACCACATAGGGTACGGTACAAAGGAAGAATGATGGTAAGATAAAGGCGAACATCTACTCAACTGAGACCTATTGGGGTTTCGAAATGCCTTTTTTCTATGTGGAAATTACTGGATAAATTCCGAAGTAACAGTGTGATTTTTCCAATTAACTATGTAGTTTTCTATTGTAGATGAAAAAAGCGAATCGAGCATTTGTAAAGAATTACTTTATAAATTCTAAGATTTTGATAGAATACTTCATTGGAAGGTCTGTCAAGTATTTAGTGCTATACCTAGAAAGCTTTGGATGAATGGAATTTCTTTCCACAAAGGACCGAATCGGATGACTGTGGATGAATGGAATTTCCTCCTACCGAGGACTGAGTCGAATTGAAATTTCGCGCGAGAGACATCGTGGACAAATCTAAGTATCACCGTGGCTCAGTCTAAAGCACCGCCATTAAAAGCGTTTGAGAGGTATAAGAGAGGTTAGAACTTCGAAAGAATGGCGGAAGAAAGGAATTCACCCTCTTATCCAAGGGAAGTTAAGAAAAGCGTTCAATCAAGAGAGATTGAAAGAGGAAGCTTCCAAGAAAAAAGAAAGAACAGAGAAACATGCATAGATATGTTCTAAAACTATTAGAGAATGAGCGTAACCCTGATGACTAAGCTTGATTTCGTCTATGGAGAAGCACATTCTGAACACTTCTACTTGCTGCAAATTCGAACAGTTGGAGAGGACGAGTCTCAAGTAATATTCGACCATGTATAAAAGTAAGCGGTGATAATCAAAGGGTATGGCGGGCGATAGAAATCGGGAAAATAAACATGAATAAATACCAAGGATTCCATTAAATGACGCACATTTAAAGTACTAAGACGATGGTGGTTCTGAACTTCTAACTGGGAACACCACAAGAATGCCAGACGGTGAGCGGTGTTTTATACTCACAGTTGTCCATCGACGTTAGATTGACTGTCACCTTTTCCCGAGCGAAACCATTTCATGACGAATATTTTCCTTACGGAAAGTGCGGCAACGCTTTCGAAATCCGTGAATTCCAATGAACACGAGAGCAAAACTAAATGATGAATGTCAGAAATGAGTCATATCAGATATAAAGTCACGCACATCGAAGAGCTGATCGACCGCCCCCCTGTGCGACGAGCCGAACCACTGTCTGGAAAACAGGAACAAGAGCAGGCCAATTCGAAGAACCTCACACGATCATCGACTCACTAAGAGAGTTGTGTCACCAGGTCGGAGACTTCGGATCACTGTCGGTGCAACAGCAACTACTTCCGAAAAGGAAACACTCAAAAAGGAAAAGGAAAATCTCAAAAAAAACTATTTTCACTCGTATTGAACGTCGAACATCTAGAACGAAACATCTTATTCAAAGTAGATGTAAGCGCAGGTGCAATACAATGGAGTAAATCGTGGAAGATAACAGGAAAAACATACGAAGTGGAGAAGGCTCTTGCCAGAGGTCACTTAGTGAGTGAGGAATGTGGAAGACTTCGCTGGACGGAAGGGTCGTGCCCGATCTCGCCGACGACTCGTCGCCATTGTCGCGCGCCGTCGGGACTGGACGTTACCACGGACATCGTCCTGTGCCACCAACTGCCTTATTTTTCAGCACGAGTAATTTTTCCACTCTTTTCGGAATGCTGTTTCGAATCCTTGTTAGTGCTCAAGGAACTACGTAAATCGTGTTCGTAGTTCTGATTTATCTGTTTTTAAAGAAGCTAGTATGTTTGTGCGAGCAAACGCTGATGTTCTGTTTTTCCATTATCGTGGATCGTAGTGGGCTAGTGAAAGCTTGCACTCAGTATTTGGTAAGGCTTGTAAATCGATTACGTGTCTGTTGTTGAGCGCTGTGAGCTTAATGAGTTATCCATCCCTTTGAACGTGGCCATTAAACCCATTTCTTACAAAAATCGTTGTGTTTGCAGTGTTTTAAGACCAAAACGACAGAACTAGGACTTCCATCATATCACTTGCAGTTCACTTTTTCGCTTAATTTGGGAAGGCGTGGTCATTTATGCTTATCAGGATGTTGCAGACGCTAACATCTGCGCTCAAGACCTACACAAAAGGCAGTCACTCAGAACCTGTCATGCAGATATCTTGGGTGTGTTCCAAATTCACTATTGCTGGAAATTCCCTAAAGCCTTATATTAACATTATTGTAATTTCTTTCGCATATTATGGTAAATTTTGTACCTTTCATATAGCATAGCTCATATCTGTCACAGGGTAACTAAAGCTTAATCTAATTTCTTGGTATGCAAGATGTTTACGGTCATCATTTTCTAGGAATAAATATAAAAGAAACCATCGTAATAGGAGGCGCGTGTAGCATAATGGTGAGAGGTGCACCGTAATGCAAATGTGGAATCTGGTTTGATCCAGCGCCGAGTGCTCAGTATGTTCACTATCCTTGCGTGGCGGGCAATTTGGCACCGTAACTGTCTTTGGGAGGAGAGCAGCAGTGATTTCATGCACCGAGACTCCACTCAAGTATAGGCCAAAAATGCATTCAGTCACCTCCAGCAGTGCTTGGTGAAATTGAATGCATGGTGCATTACTCACAGATTGACCAAATCTGTGAGCTTTATGCTTCATCCCTTGTCATATAGCCTCTAAATTTCAACGGTTCGCCTTTTTTGTTTCATTATACCACACTAACTTTCATCATAGGAAACGGTTGCGCGCCAATTGCAGTAGATTGAGGCGAGAGAAAATGCTCACCATGAACAAACAGGAGATTTTTTCGCACTGCAGGCAGTTATTAACCACTGGATTGCTTCCATCTGTCACAGCAGCGTTATTTTGCTTCGAGTGAGCGCTTTGTCGATAGTGGACACATTTACTCAGTGTTCTTTTAGCTCTTCCGTTCATCGTAGGTTCTTCCTTTATCTCCAGCTGTGTGACCTCATTAAATGCTCCTAACATATACATCGGCCGCTGTGCACACGTTTTCGTCGTAATCGGGACTGTTCTTCTCATAACTTCGACATCTCCATCTCACCAAAGTAATCTACACGTGGCCCGTCGCCTTCGCTTTTAACATCGCTCGTTTGTGTATTCTCGCCTTTGATGCAAATATGTTTTTGGAAACATATATTATGATGCAAATGTTTTATAAGGACTCTGACAGCATGGAATCCCTGTGGATTCTATACTCACAACTAGGATGGACCCGTGCTGTAATTGTTTATTCGGCATTATTCTCTATTAATTTAAATGATTACCTATAAAGAAAGAGAAGCATTCTACCTATCTGATTTTCCCAAAGAATTCTGCACTCAGTACAGAGTTGCTACTATAAAAAATAAACGCATGAAGTCCTTGGCGTTGATCAATCTCTGCGGCATGCGCCCTGCACTCGACTTCAATAAGCATCGTTAGAAGTGATTGAGTGCACATTTGGCCTAAATAATGATTCGCGGTGGCCTATCGTTGTATTAAATCAGTGCTGCTATCCTTCTAGACAGGTCTGCTACCGATTTGCTGACCTTGGAGAGATAGAGGGCTTGGTGACCCCGGGAGTCGGATCGAACCCATGTGTATTGCAGA